CACGGGTCCTTTCTTCGTACACGGTGATGTTTTCCCAGCTAGGAGGTGCATCAGGGCACAAAACTGATCGGAACCTATCATGTTGAGAGTTCCAACTCTCCCAATTTCTCGGAGAGACGTTGGCTTTGATATTGTGGATGTGCCCAAGTGTCAGACTTCTTCTTCGAAGCCTGAAAGCTCCCATCACCATCTTTTGCGTGTAGGTCTGGCTGGTGCTGGTGTCGCCATTGCTCTTGTCACAGTGTCACAGATAATCTTACTGAGTTACGAGCGCCACCACCCGACAGCATCGCCACCAGGACGACGACGAACGAGATGTCATGGATTACGGCGACGACAAAGCGGCTGCTGCTGCTGCTGCTACTACTACTACTACTACTACTACTACTACTACTACAACTCGTGAGACCAGCACTACGAGTACTTCTAGTGCTACTAGTACTACTAGCACTAATACCAGTACAACCACTACTACCAGTACTAACACTCCCATCACTGCCACTTCTGCCACAGCCACTACCGCTACCAGTACCGCTACCACTACCAGTTTTGCTTCTACTTCTATCTCTGGTTCTACTTTACCACTATATACTGCTACTGCTACTGCTGCTACTACTGCGACGGCGACTCTAGCGCTCAGGATTCATGGTTTTCAGAGCTACACCTACTAGTAATACTGATACCGCTTTATGATACTACGACTGCGACTGCGCCTGCGACCGCGACTTCTACGACGACGACGGCGACTACTTGCCACGGCGAGTCACAGGTCTGGAACGTTTTCTGCAGCCGCAATGCAGAAGCAAACTTCGCGTGGCTGCGAAGCAGAGAGAGATTCTTATCGACATGTCGGCAGTGTGTCCAACCGTAAGCATAACGACCAATGTGGCGACTGTTACGGGCACTTGCATTATCTAGGTAAGAGACGAACATACTCGTAGCAGCAAAGCCTGCAATCCCAGATGGAGCAAGGTTAAGGACAGTGGTACAGCTTCGGGTAGGAAATGTTTCTTGCATGCCTGCTGCGACTAGTGAACGGGGATATGTAACCGCTGCAAGAGCTATGTAATATGGATGTTGGAAGAATTAGTATTACTGTCCCCCGTAGCTCCTATAGTATACTGTACCGACCCACACCCACATTCTAATCGTTCAGTACCTTGCATGTACACTATGTATACCAAAGTGATGCATCAAGCAGCCTGGCGAAAAGACTCCCTACTGCCCTCGGTTAAGGGTTTCGCGTTTGGTTAGGGTTTAGGGTTTGGCTTACCGAGAGAGGCCGCATATCACGGCTTTAGTCTGGCTTCGGTGTTTCCTGCCTGTTTCCATGTGGCTGTTGTTGCACCTGTTGTTGTCTGTGTTTTGTTTCTGTTCTTCTCAATATTACTGATGCCAGTTCTTGGTCGTTTAGTTGTTAGACTCGCTTGATCTTTTAAGGTTTATAGTTCTGCTTTGTGCTTCGAGCTAAACCCTAAACCCTAAGCTGTTGTTTCAGTGATGACCTTTGACCGACACCAGCCGCACCTTACCATGGCCTGCATGTCCGCGGCTCTCAAAAACATACCACAGACCGAACACAGAGAAGACAAAAGGGTCTGCAACGTGCATTCGTGGTGCAGGGTTTTGTGTTGCGGGTACGGGGTAGGGAGTACTTAGGCCTGAAAGCAACCGGCAAAGCACAGTAGAAAAAGTTCTTGATGGTTGGCCAGTCACAACCTACACAGAGTTTCTATACATGGCGGTTTAGATACGGTGAACCTGAACTCAAAGCCCTCACTATGGTGGTTTAAGGTTTAGGTATAAGGGCGTGAATAGTGATCAACCGTCCTTCAAGAACTTCTGGCCATCCGCCACGTAGCTGCAGGGCCTGGCCCAAGCGGTGCCGCACTACACCCTAAACCCTAAACCCTAAACCCTAAACCCTGAACCCTAAACCCTAAACCCTAAACCCTAAACCCTGAACCCTTAACCCTAAACCCTAAACCCTGAACCCTGAACCCTGAACCCTGAACCCTAAACCCTAAACCCTTGTGAAATTTCTCTGTCTTGCAGTGCCGTGTTGACAGTCCTCATGCGAGCGTAGTTTTTCATGTCTAGTCTGAACGCTTCTTTACTTGAAGACGTCTTGTGCTCGAATCGAAAAATAGGCTTTGCTTGTGTGGTTGGACACTCTCGAACCAAGTTCCTGCTTCAAACTGGTAGCGGAGCTGAGAGGACAACCACTAGTGTATCACCCCCGAGAGCCGTTGGTCCGGGGACCGTAGAGTAGTTTGATAGATAGTTGTGGAGCAGAGGCCCCTACTGTCTTAGGTGAAGGTGAAGCCATGAGCGTGGCAGGTTTGCGCTACCAGCCCAATCTCTGGTCACAGAACCTGAGCCCTGCTGAAACCAAAAGCGGCTCGTACATATACGACGGGTCAGCTGCTGGGTTCCACGATTGCTGCTTCCGGACACAGATCCGTGTGCTGCAGCATAAGGAGAAGCAGCGGCGTGAAGCTTTGACGGACTTGCGTTTTGCCGAGTCGGCAAGGTCCAAAAGCGAATCACCAAGGAAGTGGCGCGGCAGGGTTAGTCAAGGGACCAGTGCACACCCCACCGAGGGTGATGCGAGCAGCGGTATACCCGCCAGTCCGTCTAGCGCAAAGCGGACTAAGCCCGTGTCTGAAGCAGAAGATGAGGATGCGGAGTCGTTACCGTCGCACCCCAGTCAAGTGACGGGCGACGATGAGCAGGAGCCGGACACAGATCCGGCGGTGTACACGTTGCAAGACGTCAAGGACGAGTCACTCGACATGAGCGAGTGCGTCAGCAAGATTCTAGAAGGTCTCCGAGGGGATGCCTTTTGCATTGCTCGCGACGTCGGTTTGGAACGTTTGCTTCGTCATGACGGCATTGACTACCTGATAGAGGAAATCAGGAGACAAGCCTTCCCTCTTCAATCTGAAGAGGCGTCCGAACTTTTCCGTCAGGGACAGCTCCTGACGGGCCCACTTGCAAAGCAACCCGGCGAGCCTATGTTGTCCTACATAGCCCGCCGAAAGCGGTGGTGGTCGACCTTGCGAGAGCTGGACCCTGACATCCGTCTTTCCGAGGCAATGAGGGCTAACCTCCTTGTTGAGCTTTCGGGATTGGAGAGGTCTGAACAGCTAATGGTCAAAACCGCCGCCCGCATGCACAGTGTGGATGAGTACGCACGCGTCCTTGTTCAGCACCACTCCGCGGTGCACATGAAGGAACGTCTTCTGACGCAGAAGGACCCCAGTGGCCCAGGTAGGACCTGGAGACGTTTTGATGCTAAGCCCCAATACCCTAAGTTTGGCTACATGGGGTATGATGGCAGCGCCGTAGAGTATGATCACCAGGAACAGCATGAATCCGCGGAAGGCTACGGTGACGGCTACGGTGATGAAGCGTACCAGGCCACAGCCTCTGGGGGAGGTGACGCAGATGAATGGATCGATGATGAAGACCTAGCATCGCAACTCAACGCCTATACGGCGGTGGCATACGAAGCTGAGGTTGATGACTTGGACGATTCCTATGCCGAGTCGGTTCAGCTTGCATACGCGGCGCAGACCGCATTCGCCCAGGCGAAAGGAAAGGGGAAGAACAAGGGCAAGCCCACCGGGAAATCCGGCGGGAAGGTCGTGCGTAGTAACCTAACTATTGCTGACCGCAAAGCCAAGCTAGCAGAGCTCAAAGCAAAGAGTAGATGTTTGAAGTGCGGTGTGATCGGCCATTGGGCCGGAGATGCTGCTTGCAAGTTTAGCGGTAAGGGCAATGGCTCCAAGGGTACCGCAACCCCAGCACAGTCCCAGACCACCGTGTGGATCTATAAAATAGAGCCACATGAAGATCATCGATATAGAGCCGCTGTTGTCAAAATAGAGCCGCACCTTGAAAATAGAGCCGCCAGTCGTTTTCACTAACATCAGCAGAACAGATATAACACAGGGTTTGAGCCAGAACAAGCGATGAGATCCGACCATTGCACTCCTGCACGAATGCACACAACTTTGTGCCGAAAAACGGCAGCAGCTTGTGCTACACAAATGGCAGATGCTCATGATTATCGCCCTTGGAGCCACGAAACTCGTATTGAGCCGCAAACTCGGTTGAGCCAAAAAAATATTAGGGACATTTAGGGTTTTGTAGGTTATAAGGATGAAAGATTATACATGGAAATATGAAGAATGAAGAAGTGCACACGGCAGATACATCAGTCACTCTGTGTGTGTGTGTGTGTGCAAGCAATCCGTTTGGGCTTCAGGTTCGGCAGGTTGGGTGCTTTGTAGGGCTTATATAGAGTTGAAGGTTTAGAAATTGCCGAAGCTTCGGGATTTGGGGCGGAAGTCTGGCTTCTGGTTCGCGAATCTTCGTAGGTATGAGTCTTCGGGCTCCTTTAGGCGCTCAAGAATTTGAAGGCTGAGGGTTTCTGACTCTAGCTCTAAATGGGTCGGAACTTCGGCCTTGATACTCGGCGTAAAGTTTGGGGCTTGGGAGTTGCCTGTTTTCCCGAAGCCCCTATCTGTTTTTTTTGGAAGTTTCCAAATCTGAGCTTCGATTGCTGGGCTGCGGCTTTGATGTTCGGGTTTAGAGTCGAGCTCGGGGTTTGGCCAAACCCTAAACCCTGAATCCTAAATCCTATATATGTTGAACCCTATAAACCCTCAATCCCTATACAGGAAGTTACCATCGCCGACGCCGAAACCCAGCAGAAGATCTACAGGCTTTTGGTGTATCGCCGCAAAACACGGGGCCGAACCCTGAAAGCTGCTTTCCCTGCTCTGGGCCTCCCGAGACGCAGCCGCTTGGAGCCGTCAGCTGCATTGCCTGATGTTGGGCTTTTCGAGAGTCTCGAGACTCCCTTTACTTGCAAGTTTTATATTGGCGGTGAGCATGGAAGGGTCTTACACGACAGCCCTTTTCTTCGGATTCCTGGTGTCAGTCTTGAATCATGGAATATTGATCTTCTTCACACCTGGCATTTTGGGCCAATGTCTACCTACATCGCTGTGACTTTGAGAAAGTTATTGACGGAGACGGACATTTGGAAACCTTCAATTGTGGAGCTAGACAAGGAAGAGCTCAGCAAACTTTCTTTGCTCTGCTTGAGAGCTGAGCTGCAGACTCACTACAAGCTGCGACGGCAAAGTGACCCAGAATGGTCCAAGAAGGGCTCGGAGGCACCTCACGTGTCCAAACCTTGATTTTTGAACTTGAATCAACAACTTGAACAGTTTTGTTAGTTTCGAAGCATAAAAGTTTTCGGTGCCAGCCCCAAACCGAGGTCTGGAACCTCACGCTTACGATGCTGTCGGACAAGCACGTGAAGGCCAAAGCGGCCGAGACGCACGGATTGCTTGCATTCGTGTGTGAGATGTTGGCCAAATACAAAGCTCGTTTGTCGACCAGCGGCAGCGAGCAGGATCAGTTGTTTTTTGAGCTGGCGACACACGCTGGCAAAGTGCCATGGCTTTCGATGCTGTCATGGCCAGACATGGCCGGGACATCAATGCGGCAGTTTCTGGGGAGATGCTGATGCATTACGACCGCTTCATCGTTCTGTGCAGTCGTGCTGGCTTTCCGCTGCTTCCTAAAGGCCATCTGATGTACCACTGCATCCAGAGGTCTGTCTTGCAGGGCAACCCACGGACATATTCGACATATGTTGACGAAAGCTACAACGGGGCGATCGCTCGAGTCTGTCGGTCAGTGCACAGGCGAGGGTGGGCTTGGGCGGTGTACCGCAAACTTCAGATTTTGGAAACCGTGAGGGCGGCATCGCAGACGGGCGATGACACGGATTGCTTTGCAGGACGGTTTCAAACTCATTTAAGACGAATCCGAAGACAAGGGCTGTCGGCATCGCTTCATTAGTTTTTTGAAATTTACCCTAAACCCGAAATGCTAAACCCTCCCCTACCCTGATGTTTGGGTGTAGACACATGCAGAAGCACTTGCGGCACTTTTCCAATGAAAACCGAAGACCTAAACCCGAAACCCTAAGCTTTTCAGGCTTCGGATGGTTTAGGGCTCAAGGGTTTTACATTTTTCAAGATTTGGGATATCGTTGCAATAGTCCGCATCATATTTCGCCTTCTGCAAACCCAAACAGCGAGAATTATATTGATGCCTGCCTTTAAACTTCTTGCCGCAGGATGATCGACAAAGTGCAGATTCGATGCTACAGCTCCTCTGGCTTTACGACATTTCGAAGTCCAGATCTCACCTCTGCGATGTGTTCCGTGGGCTAACCACAATCATGGGTCAAGACATTGTAGGGCTTAGAGCTAATTGAAGCTTCCCGAAAGCCCCCGTGCACGTCGTATTGGCCAAGCTGCATGTTTCAGCTCGAGCGCCAGCAGCACAAATCGAAGGGTCGAGCTTTGGATTCTTCGGTTTAGGGTTGAAGGTCTCGGGCGGGCGAGTCTGCTGCTACATTCTGGCCGGCTTCGTTGCTTCGAAGGTCAAGTTTGGAATGTACGTGTGTGGAATTGTTTCAAAGTCTTCAGAGCCTACCAGCAACGATTTGGCATTCGTTCAGGGCTTAAGACTCCGCAGCAGTTGCATAAAAGGACTCTAGCAAACCCTGAAACCACCCGCCTTGAAATTCTCGCTGATATACTGGTTCATTGCTGCAGAATCAAATAATGGATACGGGCACGTACCCAAGGTCCAGTTGCCCACTTCAGTCAGCTGCTCTAGTGGGCACAGCAGGGGCAGCAGTGTTTTTTATGACTCCAGGTCCTCAAACCGCAGATTTCAATTAAGGCAGGCCAATCCGCCTTAAAGTCAAGAACGGCCAAACGTAGATCTTCATGCCTGGAAGAAACATCCTCCCGGAAAGCTTCCAGGAGTGGCCACACGGAGCACCAGCCCCGGCAGCCGCATTGGCATAAATCCGAGAGTCCTGCCAAAATAACCATATCATTCGGACTCGATTGGGCCCTTGAACCCTGGATACCGTAAGCCTACCTATAAACCCTAAAAGCGATTATTATTGGAGAGCAAGGCACTCAGCAGCCATACCAATCGTTGTTGTTTTGGAGTCCGTAGATTCGTAATATAAAATCCCAAAAAATTCTCGTTCTTGGTGTACTGGACACCGTCGAAGTACACAGACAAAGGCACAATACGTTCTCGGGGAATCCCTTCGTTCAGGGCTTGCACTGTGACGGGGTGCTTCTCGTACCGGTCGCCGAGAGCTGTATCATTCTCAAGGAACGTAGCCACAGTTTCTTTGCAAGGATTTGAATTCCCTAGCAGGTTCAAGGCTTTCAGCTCATCACGAATCATATCGGAGGCAACACGAACGGGGTGCTTCATGGGAGTCTTGACAAGCTGGGTCTTCGTATTCATAGGAACTGTAACCCACTGTACACGAGGTTCCGGAAACTCCTTTCGGAGGTGGTACCTTACAGAATGTGGTGTTGTTTTCGGTTTCATCCGGAACTAGATTTGGGAGGAATATTCATCACCACGATAATAATAGAAATGCTTGTTAGCTTGGGTTTCAGGGTGGGGTTTGTTTAGACATTTCTAATAGGTGTTTTGGAGAATCAATTACAGCTTGAGGCACTTCAAGTGTTCGGATCCATGAGTCGAGGCTTGGTCTGGTGCTAGGGCTAGATCTTCGGCGCCTTCACCCCCACTTTCGGTATGGTAGTAGGCCAGAAGGCAAGTGTCGGTTGCAGTAAACGTGCCCTCGGTGTATCTTTCCAGAAGAAAGCTTCTAAACTTAGCACCAGCAGCGGCTGAAGCAGCTTTGTCATCTTCATCAACCCAGAAGTCTTCAAGCCCATAGCCAGAACCCGAAAGCTGGACCCGTGCTCGTTTCAGAGACATCCAGCCGATGGCGTGCGATCAGCAGCTGCATCGGGCAGGAGCTGCGAACATCACTGTAAACGGCGGGTTTAGGAGTTCAGGGCCTTTAAACGTTGGGGTCGGGATTGGGGATTTCGGAGGAGGGTTTCGGTTCTAGGTTTGACGATAGGATCTAAACTCGATCATTGTGATTGTAGCAGCACTGTTTGATCTAATCGGCGCAGAAACTAGAACTTCACAGAAGATCTTCGGCCCCAAACCCTGCAGCGTCTCCCAAAATCTGCTCACATGATGCCCTGACTGCACGACTCGGGAAACATCTTGCCTGGGATACCTCGCACTCAGACCTACAGCACCACAGGCTCTTGCATCAGCTTTCTAATAGTGACGTCAATAAGGGTCATTGCACAACACGTGGACCTAAGGGTGCAACCTGCAACTGATCTTGAACACATCTCGCTATATGGATTGTCTGCAGAAACCTCAAGCGTGGACAGTAGCATCATGTGTTTGTTCCGACACAAGATGCATCAGCGTGCGATTGAGGATGTCGCCGGCCTGTTGCCAAGCTCCCCAAAAGTCCCCAGCTAACTCCGATTATCGTGAGATAATAGCACCCAGCAAGCAGCAGCAGCTAGGCTCGATCACAAGCCTTCTTCTCGTATTCCAACAGCTTGGGACATTCACCTTTGCTAAGAGCCCTAACCTTAAATCTGAGCCCCTAAGCTTAGACCCAAAGAAGAACAAAGACCATGCCGAAGCTCCTGACACAAGCGGAATTGATTCTAATAAGGTCGGAACATGTATCAGTTGATACTGTAGGAATCTAAGCAGAATCTAGGGCAGCTGAAGATGAAAGCTTTCAGGACCGCGGTTTTATCGGAGGCGGCCATTATCGAAACAGCGGATCGGATGCGGAAAGGTCGGGGGATACTGGGCTCCGGGTTTAAGCTTATGGGGGACCCCGAACTATATCAAACCCTATAAAGCATAAAACCTGAAGCCAAAACCTAGAGTCCTAGAGCCTAAACCCCACAACCGGCAAGCTCAAATCTTAACTCGTATTACGTATAACAATGCAAGGCTTAAACTCTAAACCCTAAGCCCATAACCTAACTATAAGCTCTAGCCCCAAGACTCGACCAGACTGACTAAATAGCGAGGATCCAGATTTCAGGCTGCGACCGAACTGTGCAGCTAGCCTGCACCCCTTGCCACAAGCTGGAAAAGCCTACACTACAGACGGCAGGGACCTAGTGGAAGCGGTTCGTTTGATGCCCTTACCCTTGGCCTTAGCCTTTGGCTTGCTGGCACTCTTGAGAGCGTCTGCGGCCAAAAGTTTGGCACTCGCCATTTGCTCAATTTGGAAGGCTGCCTCGGCCATCTTGGCGATCGGCGGCCCCAGGACAGTGACAAACTCCACCAGCTTGCCCACGTAGCCGTCGCCGTGCTCCTTCTTGATCTTTGCACTCTCCTTGGGGCTGAGGGCTGCCACCTTGAGCGATTGGAAGTCAGGGTTGTCGCAGTAGAGCTTGAGAACCTCAGTGCGAAAGTTCTTGTAGGAGGCCAGCAGGTCAGAAGCCCAAGTCCAGCCATCGGGGTTTTTTGCTTTCTCAGCCATCACACGGCCGATGGCCACATCTGAGCTTTGTTCCATTGCCAGGAACTCTTTCACTTCCTTCTCTTTCTTAGGGCCTTTCTGGTCCTTCTTGGTTTTGGTTTTCGGATTCGGAGTGTCAGAGCCGTCCGGGCCAGGACTTCCATTGCCATCGGCTTCCTCAGCCGCCTGCTTCCTGGCTCTCTTACCTGCTGCAACAGCATCCTGTCCAGTCTTGGTGAAGGCTGCGTTGTTGCTGCCATCGTTCTTCGGGAACTTTGCTTGGGCTTCGGGGGACATGGTCTTGTAGAGCTCGGCATAGCCCTTGATACCCAAAGTAGTCTCGGCAACATCCTTTTCAGAGACCTGGTTAAGAGGCTTCCGCATCGCATGAGCATAAGCACGTAGTGCTTGGCACACCTTGACCTTCTCGGCGAGGCTGTTGGGCACAGTCTCCCTAGTTTCCACTGTGACCGTGTTGGTCCACTGCTGCTCGTTGCTCGATGAAATCAACGTCTCCACCCAAAAAATAGGTCATGGCATCCAACCAATCATTGTGGAGGGTGCAGAACTCCTGCGTTCAAGACAGACACCAGGGCCCAAGTATATGGAAAACCCGAAGCCCTGAACCCACAACCCCTATCCCGAACCCTAGCTCTCTATAAAAGGCTTTAGGTTCAGGGCTTCCAGTTGATGGTTGTAGGATAGGTTACTAGAGGGGCAGCTTATGTATACGTTAGGGTCTGGGGTCCACTACAAGTTTGAGGCAGGTTAGCTTTTGGGGTGTGGGGTCACGAAGTTGAGAAAGCTTTCGTCCTTCAAGCCCGGTCGTGAGCACATAGCAATGTAGCGATCCGCCTGCCTCACTGCTTCAGGTTGATCGGTGCCGCCGAGGATGTTGACCAACTGAAGCTTGGTAACAAACTTTCCGATTTCATCACGTCTTTTTCTGAAAGACGTAGAGGTGGTACGAGTCGTGACCATAAAGTCGAAAGACTTGGTAGCCGTCCAAGCACGTCGAAACTCGAGCTTCATCGCATCGGTGAGTACCATGTAAGCGGCACTCATGTCTGGTCGCCACTTCATGGCTCGCTTCATCTGCTGAGCATGCGAGCCACGTGCCGAAAGATCTTCCTTTTGCGTAGCCCAGAACATGATGCCTTCGGTAGATTCGATCACCTGCTTCTTCGTCACTGCCGACACATCCAGCTTGTGGTAGGAAGCAAAGTTGACGATGGCCTTTTGCACATCTCGCACACCTTGCTCGTCTCCATCACCACCAGTAGATGTAGATGCTAGATTTGTCTGCAAAGCCGAGGAAGCACCTGCCTGGGAAGCACCATCGGCCTGCGGCTCTGCGTGGGAAGCACCATCGGCCTGCGGCTCTTCTGCCTGGGAAGCACCATCGGCCTGTGGCTCTGCCTGGGAAGCACCATTGGCCTGCTGCTCCTGAGTCTCCACCACCAGAGTTTGGGTCTCTTGCGTGGAGGGGTCTTCAGCAAGCACTAAGGTAGGAGCATCCTGAATAAGGGCAGCCATGCTACCACTGCTAAGCTTCTCCAGCTCGAGTTCCAGCATTTGCGTGGGTTGAGTCTTTATCGATTCACACCACTGCAGATAGAGGAATAATTGGTGTTTGCATCACGGAAATAGCTCAAAAAGGGCTCATCGGGGGCTCATCGGGGGGGTCATCGGGGGGGTCCTCGCCGGAGCTCATTACTATAGCGTGACTTAACATCACCGGAGCTCATTACGTCTTATCCCTAGGCTCATCGGGGGGCTCATCGGGTGGCTCATTGGCTTGACGGGTGCACCGGAGCTCATTCTTGACTGCTGCCTTAAGAACACCGGAGATCATTGGGTTATGTTGGGTTTTGTCGATTTAGCTACTTTAGATCCATTTCAATAAAATAGATCCAATCTAGCTGATTTAGATCCAATTTAGTTGATTTAGATCCAATTTAGCTGATTTAGATCCAATTCAGCTGATTTAGATCCAATTTAGCTGTTTTAGATCCAATCTAGCTGGTTTAGATACACAGCAATAAATGATTTGGATCCCGTATATCCTGTCTAGTTCATTTAGATCCCACGGCTCGTTGAGATCCTATTTCCTCGACTCGGCGGCAGTGCGGCGTATTGCGGATAGCAGTGCCCACGAAGCACAAGACCCGGCCAAGGACCCAATCTAGCAGCCGTATGGTGCATATTTTGCTATATAGAACCGATATATATAGCAACTGTACTACATAAATAAGAGTAAACCCGAAATCCTGAATCCCAGCGGCGGGTTAGCTCGAATCGATCGCTGATCGATTGGATCCCGGTGATGCAGAGCGAGCAGCATATGCTGGATAGAGCAGATCCTATATATATCTGGCCTATTCCTATATTATACATATATACACATATTAAATACGTAAGTACAAACCACTGTCCTGAGAACCCAGGCTGCTCTAGTATAAAGGATCTGCATCGGCGGGTGGGGGCTGCTATCTGCAATATACACCCTCTACAGCTAATTTAGATCCGATTTGAGGCTGGTTTAGATCCATCTAGCTAATTTAAATTCAATGTACCGGATAGATCCTGCAACTCACCGGTATATAGATCTATAGTATTAACCCATGGATCCTAGGAAATCCTTTCTGTTCACAATATAGATCCAAAATCCCCACAATATAGATCCCCAAACTAGCTCTTCAAATCCAATGTACCCGATGGATCCTGCAAATAGCCCCTCAAATACCATCGCTATCTAAACCATCAATATAAAGTGTAGTGTATAAGGTTCCCAAGCCTAGCTCCTCAGACCAAATCGTCATCGATCTATAAATACAGTTGGAGCATATGGGATGGTTTGCTTGTCTGCGGGAGCTCTACGTGCTATAATATATCGATATTATTAACTATATATCTATATCTATCTATCGTCTATTATACAGATGTATATATATATATATATATATATATATATATATATATATATAGCTGCTAGAACGTACCAACTCGATCGATCCTGCCTTCAACAATTTCAGCCTATGTATATATAGACTACTAGATCAAAAACTCACACCAATAACATATTTCCACGTACTAAATCCCATAATACTGCTCCTCAAACCCAACAAGATGGATCCCATATACCTATATAGCTCTAATCCGCAATATAACCAATAGATCCTGAATACACTGGATCCCTCTTATACCTGCCTGAAACGTGGATCCACGTATCTATCACTCGATCGTCAAAACCAAGCTACCAAACAGATCCCAAACCTAGCTTCTCTATAGCTTCCATTAATTCTTGGGGATGGGTTATCATTATACCTTTATTACATATCTAAGGTACGTGCCCTGGATCCCACCGCCTGCGCGCACAGCGTGCTGCGGGCTCCGGCTGCAAGAGCTCACGACTTAAAGCAAACCACGAAAGCCTGGCGTCCTCATCTGTATATACCAGTACCTAGCACCCTGTGAAGTGGTGTTGGAAACTTCGATGGTCTATAGGGACCTAAAAATATGGAGACAAGAACTGGATCTACCTTTGGGGTAGGGTCCTATTTCGTATACGGGTTTTGGGGTAGCTTGAAGGCCATGTGGCTGCAAGATTCAGATCCCGCTGGTTCTAAAGGGTTGGGGCTTAGGGGTTTAAAGCTTTAGTCTCCAGGGTCTCTGAGGGCACACCGCCGGCTCCTACACGGCAAGGATTAGATGCCACTCATCAGCGGCCGGGATTCGAGCTGCCTTGGATTGGGGCATGGGTTCGAGGTTTGAGCTTCAGTACTTCTGGGGAAGCCAGAATCGAACTTCAGAGCCTGGAGCCACGGAGCTATGCATCGGTTGTTTATAACGATGGAGCCTCAAAGTTTAGTGCCACACATTGCTTATGTGTCTATACGTACTTATACACATATATTTGTTTTTGTGCCTGTGTGTACACATGTATATGTACATATGTTAGCAGAAAAGCTCTTCCCAGATCTCCTGCGGATTCAGTGCCCGACAAGCCTAAAGCGTGAAACCTTCAACCATCTTTCAAACCGCTATTTCCGAACACCTGGTGAGCTCAGGATATACAGTTCCGGGTTTAGTTAAGGGCTAAGATGGATTTCATGATGCCCCCCAAATCAGGTTCCAGCTGCTCGCCAGCCGGCCGTAAGCGGCATCTGCTTCGTGCAAAATGCACCTGGGCAGGACCCGTGCGTGGGAATGTTCCGGGCTTGACATCATATTGGAACTCGGGCACTGTAACAAGCTACAGATCGAATGCCCCTGCTTGTCCCGGCAATGTTGCAGTCATGTGGCCTCGATCATCAGTCCTCCTCGTCTTCGTTGTCAGGCTCCTGCGAAACCAGGACATAGATTGCTTGGTAAAGCTTAGGATTTTCGAGTTCGAGGTTTTGGGGTTAAGGCTCCAGAGTTTGGGGGTTTATCCGGGCTCCTCATCCTCATCCGCCTCTTCGGCGAGCGACTTCTCCTCGTGAGGAGCCAGGGCCCTTTGGGGCGACGGACACCTGAGCAAGGATCATGGTTTAGGATTTAGGGTTTGAGCTTTGGGGTTTAGGGGTCTAGGGTTTCAGGGTTTAAGACCTTAGTTATATGTAGGGATCAGGTTTGAGGGCTTGCGGTGCAGCTAGTCTGTGTCCATCTAGCAGGGGCCAGTTGTTGAAGAAGCCTTATAGGTGTACTAGCGAAAACACGAAAAGTAAAAGCAGCGAAGCCCCGAGTAAAAAGGCTACAGTAACTGAGGTAAAATAGAGCATCGTCGGCGCCGGAGGGAAAGCATCCTTCATCTGCTTGGAAAGAAGCTCCCATGACATCTTCGATGCGGCAAAGTCGTGTGTGCCATTTTGCCACATCTCGATCAAGTTGTTTCTGCAGTGCTTGAAGTCCAGCAGCCCTTGATTGAGGTTGAGGTGCTCATAACAGTCGCAGAATGTCGAGCAGATGTTCATTCCCACCGTGGGTGTCATGTCGCCCTTCAGCACAATCTGCATTCGCTGTTTCCAAGCAGAGCTAAGATTGTATCTGTCCGCCCTTGCCTCGACCTTTATGATCGGGGAGCATTTTCCCTGCTTCGAGAACTTCGCCCGGATCGTGGGGAGGCAGTAGTCGGCCACCGGTTTAACCGGTTTATTTGAAGCCGCCTTTGGCTTCCTTGGCACGGACATCACAGACCCAGCACTGGAAGCGAACTTCGCGAGATCGGCAGGGATCAGTGGCGGCAGCCATTCGGTCCCATCCTCAAACACCACAACCACCGAGCCAGCCTCATTCAGGCTCGGTTGCCCGGAAACATCCGTGCCCTTCTTCGTCTGGCGACAAGCCTTTCCCAAAGTTTCCTCCCACCATATGTCGCCCTCCTTCCGGGTGATGGCGGGCTTCTCCTTCTCGGGCTTCTGCTGGGAAGAAGCGGGCTTCTCCTTCTCGGGGTTCTTTTCCGGTGCGGGCTTCTCCTTCTCGGGGTTCTTTTGCGGTGGAGCGGACTTCTCCTTCTCGGGCTTCTTTTGCGGTGGTGCGGACTTCTCCTTCTCGGGCTTCTGTTGCGGTGGTGCGGGCTTCTCCTTCTCGGGTTCCTTTTGCGGTGGTGCGGGCTTTTCGTTCTCGGTCTTCCGCTTGAGGCTGCTGGGTCTCGACGTCTTGACAGGGGGCTATAATAGACATACGGGGTAATACAGAGTAGCCAATAGACATGATAAATAAGACCCGAAAGTAAAACTAGGATCACTAAAAACCTTACATGTTAGGGTAGTTTAGGCCTCTTAGTGTTCTTTGAGGGCTTCACCTAGGGCCTTAAATTATTAAAATCTTGTATCTCGAGGAGGATCCCCGATGGCCTGCGGCTGCGGCGTCATGGAGAAAGCCACTGCACCTGGGCTCAGGGACTGAATCAGTCCGTCATCGTGGCACGGCTGGGCGGGACTTTACATGCTTTCCGATCGGAGCAGGGGATTCATGGCTTAATCACAATGTTGGGAACGGTGCTCTAAATCAGGACAGTATGCTTGTTTTGTCCAGCATTCAGCTCTGACTTTGGCTGCAAGTGCACCCTGTTTTCGGCACTGAACGAAACAACGGCCAATGTCTATAGGTGTAGCTGGCTAATAATAAGGTATCGAGAAAAGTGGCCGACGTTGATAGTGCACTCGCATACATTAACAGCCCCGTACTACATAAACAAACCAGGGTCCTGGCTCTTGCGAAACCGATTCCCCCCCTCCCGCTTCATTTGCACAGCGGAGGTTTGCACCCCATGTCAGAATCAAGGAAGATTCGGTGGCGGTATTTTTCTGTATTTTTCACCGTTTTTTTTTGTATTTTTTCCGGTCGCCTGCCCAAGCAAGCAAGCAAGCAAGGAAGGCAGGAAGCAAGCAAGCCAGCAAGCCAGGAAGAGAGCAAGCAAAGCAAGCAAGGAAGGAAGCAAGGAAGGAAGGAAGCAAAGGCAAGCAAGCAAGCAAGCAAGCAAGAAAGGAAGCAAGGAAGGAAGGAAGGAAGCAAAGGCAAGCAAGCAAGCAAGCAAGAAAGGAAGCAAGTAAGGAAGGAAGCAAAGGCAAGCAAGCAAGCAAGCAAGCAAGCGAGCAAGCAAGCAAGCAAGCAAGCGAGCAAGCAAGCAAGCAAGCAAGCAAGCAGGCAAGGAAGCGAGGAACCGAGGAAGCGAGGAAGCAAGCACGGAAGCGAGGAAGCGAGGAAGCGAGCAAGCAAGGAAGGAAGGAAGCAAAGGCAAGCAAGCAAGCAAGCAAGAATGGAAGCAAGGAAGAAAGGAAGCAAAGGCAAGCAAGCAAGCAAGCAAGCAAGCAAAGAAGTTAGCAGGCAAGAAGGAAGCAAGGAAGGAATCGAGGAAGGAAGCAAGCAACCAAGCTTCGCAGCGCATGCCTGTAGAGCAGAAGCATCAGAAGCGTATCTGTAGACTGTGATATACATATATATGTGTGTGTATATATATATATATATATATATGTTTATATTACTTGCAGATCGGCACATACACACATACACACACACATACACACGCACACACACACACATACGCATACACACACATATATATATATACATACTTGCGCGCAAATGTATATGTAACAAGTAGCTGAATGTCTATGCGTATATGAGCAACTCTGCCTACATAACACGATTGATTAAAGCTGCGGCGTTTCACCGCCCAATCCCAACTGATAAAAGCACACTATGGATGCATTATGATCTTGTGCATCGGCTGATTGCACATCCATGCCTGGTCGGCTGCAATGGAATTTACACGTGTCCTTTGAAACCTTCCCTCTTCCAGACTTCCAGTGGCCGGGCCTTGAAAATGTCATTTTGGAGTACAAACTCAGCACGCGGAACGCTCTTCCAGTGGCCGGACTTGGAAATTGCTTGCTTGGAGTACAAACTCAGTACGCGGAACCCTCTTCCGGTGGCGGGGCCTTGATACTGCTCTTTTGGAGTACAAACTGAGTACGCGGAACGCTCTTCCAGTGGCCGGGCTTGGAAACTGCTCTTTTGAAGTACAAACTGAGTACGCGGAACGCTCCTCCGGCGGCTGGCCCTTGTGAAATTATAAATATAAATATGAATATAAATATAATTATAAATATAAATATAAATATAATTATAAATATAAATATAAACATAAACATAAATCTGAATATAAATATAAATATAAATATAAATGTAAATATAAATATAAATATAAATATAAATATATGTATATATGATAAGCCGGAATCGCTCAATAAGGGTGTGTGTGTGTGTGTGTGTGTGTGTGTGTTTACGACTAATGATGAACCCCACTCGTCTGGCGTGCTTTAGATGCATGATAACCGGAATCGCCAAATGAGGGTGGCCTCTTTAAGATGTACGATGGACCGGAATCTCGCATTCAGCGGGCGTTTTTAAGATATATGAAGAACCCCGCTGGTCTGGCGTGTCTAAAGTTATGATAGCCGGAATCGCCAAATGAGGGGCGCGTTCTAAATACATAAATGAATAAAAGCAGTATATATATATATATATATGATACACCGGAAACGCTCAATGGGGGGGGGGGGTTTTAATGTATCTGATAAACCGGAATCGCCCAGTTGGGGGGGTGTTTCAGATATATGTTGACCCCCACTGGTCTTGCGTGTTGAAAGTCGGGTGTGGTGAAAGTATATGATAGCCGGAATCGCTAGATGAGGGGGGTGTTTAAATATAAATAAATATATATATATATATATATGATAAACCGGAATCGCTCAATGGGCGGGGGTGTTTAAGATATGGTTTAAGCATATATGATAGTCCGGAACCGCTCAATTGGGGGGGCGTGTTTCATATATATATATATATATATATATATATATATAGATTTGTTTATTTGTTTACTTGTGTATTTAAATATTTATATTGGTTTATTTATATGTGACGAACCTCACTGGTCTCGTGTTGAAAGTATATGATAGGCGGAATCGCCAG